TATTTTATTTGTAGGTCAGTAACGAGTTTCTCAGCGCAAAAAAGCAAATATAAGTTTTTTATATTTAATATCTATTTTATCAAACATTCATTTCATACGAAACTCTCTCTCTCTCTCTCTCTCTCTCTCTCTCTGGCATTTTCTCACTTACTGTTAACTCAATTCGCTGTTAAGCACACATTGATGTCAATTATAATTTCCAGTTATCATAAATTAAGATATCATTTCATTTTATGTTCATTTCAATGAATGGCCTTTATTTTGACTATTAATTCAAAACAAAGAGAAATACAATAGCGGTTCACATAACAAAATATATCAAAATATTATATCAATTTAAATAATCATCAAAATATATAATGTTTTGTATGCATTAAAAAAGGTTGTTTGTAAACCATATACTTGTCAATGGGTTTGATGTGAAGTCAAGTCATTAAGTTATCATTTCTTATGGTATGACTGCATAACATAATGCCTATAATGTGTGCAATCATTAATCAAAATCTCTATTCTTATGCCATTAATGTCTAATTTCACTCACAAATAGTTTTAATAATAGAAATCTATTTTACAATTTGATATAAAAGATTAACAGGAAGTCTTAGCATATTGTTTGCTTTACCACGAAATAATTGGCCAAAAAAGTTTTATTATAATAAATATTATTTAAATTAAATGCAAATCATTGATAAAGTTATAGACAAGATATGATATGCGGTATAAATGAATCTTTTGTGGAGAAAACTACAGGACTTTCAGCAGTGTTTCAGCAGACTTTCGTTGTGTATGTTATTAAGGAAATGATTGCAATACTGGATAAGAATCACATAACAAATTGTTTCTCGTATTTACAAAATAATAAAATCCTTTATCACTGAAGATTTGAGTGCTCCACAAAAATCTCTCGTTTCGCTCATTGTTTTGTTTGCATCTCTATATTAAACATAACATATTATGTATAAATGCATAAATTTTATCAAATTAATTGCTTTACATGTATTGAAAGCATACATACATTTTTCATAATCAATTTAATACGGGATATGTTGTCAGAGAAGACAGTTTTCACTCCACTTTTTTAATTGAATTAAATATCTTTTTATTAATCCGATTACTGGAAAAAGGAGTGAAAACAATACAAAAAGTATAATATTATTATTTATAATGATTGCTCGCAATTATGTTTTCAATTTTTATGTCATTCATTTAAAGTTCTCATTGATTCGCGTAATTAACTGTAAGACAGGTATAGAAAAAAGTTTTTTTTTCAAACAAAACAAATCAAACGATATTTGCTCTGATATATGAACTTTGAAGAGAAGAGATCCGTTTGTGATTTGATGTTAGAATAAAAAATAATATTTAATAATAATTGTGACATAAATTCTTCGGATGAAATGAAAATACCGCTGTATTGTTGGCATTAATTTGAAATTTTCTTTCATTTAATATCAAAAAATATAATTTTTTGTTTTGTTTCTCATATATTATATAAGTATTTGTTGTAATGAAAGCACAAAAAATAATTTAGAATTTTAGAGTATCTAACAATCGGTTCGTCAGTTAATGTAGAAACAGATCGTGTATTTCACTATTCGCTACATTGAAGGCCACAACACATCCATATCTTGTTATACCCGGTGGTGGCTCTCATCCCATACCCATCGATGGTATTTGTGGCACAAGTATTGCAGACATCGTATACTCATAAACGCCGAAGAATTGCTTGTCTTATCTGATCATAATATTCACGACTTGAAAAAAATCTTTCAAACATTTCTTCATATCATAGGCCTCTTGTAAAACAATTATTAGTATGTTTTGAGTGATGTTTGGCAGACAAATAACAACTCTTTCTAGCATTACATTTATGTGTTTACTTTGGTTATAGTTTTGTAAATACAATAACTGTTTATGGGTTTATGAATATTAATGTTGTTCTCATTTCTCATCCAAATCATGATCAGATCCGCCAATAATTCATCCAATAATTGCTTATTTATTATTGCATTTAATTATATTAATCACTCGTTTAATCATATATTTTATTATAATTATAGAGAATTACATTTTTCGCACATTTTTTCCTCCTGTGATAAGAATAATAGTTAATAAAAAGTATAATAAATAATATTAATGTCTAAACATTTGTTTTCATTTATGTTTAAAGGAAAGTGTTTTGCATACTCTTAATGATTAAACAAAAACTTTTTAGGCTAAAACTCAACAAAAATTTTTGGAAAATTGATTTATTTTATTTTGGTGTTTATTCTTCAACATTTGATTTTGTCATTCATATTAAACCATAAAATGTTACGCTTTGTCTCCCAATAAATGATTTAAAACAATACAAATAACTTTTTTTTTGGTGCAAAAAATCACAAATTCTCAGTCGTCAGTCACATTCGCAGTCTTAACGGATTAATAAAAGTCATAAAAATTTTAGGAAATTGCTATTTAGTAGACAAAGAAGTAATAAATTATTTAAGATTGTGTTTGTTATGTAAAGTGAAGTTAAATAATGTGACGAGTAGTTAATGTACAGTTATATAAAAGATTTATGTGATATTTCATACCAATAGACGCTTATAATTGTGGGTAAAAAAAACTATTTCATCAACTATTGAATGACCGAAACAGATAAGAGTGTATTATCTTAACGCAAAGACAATCTGATATAATAATTGCAATTTCGCTTAATTGCAATATTTCTTAAATGGTTTAATTGATCCAAATAATAGGATTCACACGTTTAACAGCACCGGTAGGACTCTCTTCATTAGACATCTCAAACAAATTGTTTTTGAAATTAAGATAAAAATTGAGTTCACAAATGAAAGACAATTGATTTGAAAGTTAATAATAGAAATTTCAAGTTTTCATTACATGAGATACTTTTTCTTACAGACAGCTATTACTCGAGGATTAAATATTGGCTTATTATAAGACTATTATGGGTTATATTTAATGAATATTTTAAAAAACACTAAAATAAAAACAACAAAATTTCAATATAAAATCAATTAAAGAAAATTGTTAAGTGTTGTAGAAATGAAATGATATGCCATCCATTATAATATATCTATTTCACATTTAAATCATTTTATTAAATATGTAATGCCTCTGGCCTTTGGTATTTGTGTAATACTGACGAGCGGTGGTATAAGTAGAGCAAACGTGACCCCATCTAAGCCCTTACCTGTCCAACCATTGTCTCTACACATTCTGGGCGGAAGTTTCATCCCTTTCGAGAAAAATAAGAAAAAACATAAGAATTACGTTAAGAGTAATGTATAATATATTTGAAACTCTTGTTACCAGTTATGAAGACTGAGAGCCCGAGTATAACAATAAGTGGTAGTGAGGAGTAGTGGGGGGTCAACAGTGAATGCCATTCCCTCTGACAAACTTTATATTACATTCAATTTCTCATTTTCACAACTACTCTATGGAATCCCATTATTAAAAACATAATGTTTATAAATATTTTCCGAAACAAAATATACATTAAAGTAGAGCATCAAAAAGACAACAAAAAATTGTATAGAAATAATCAGTGAGAAAAAGAAGTGCTTTCACTCCTCACTATTGAAAGCCCCCTTAAAGTGGAGAAAAGTCCGCCTCTATTGGGATGAGAGGGAGAGTGTGGACTAACATTGGAAAGTGGATTAACTGGAGTGGCAAATGATAGGCAAACAAGTGTTTTAATATTAAATATGTTTTTTCCACTGTTTTTCAAGCCGTGTATATAAAGATGTTATAAGAGGTAAAGAAGTTGATTACACTCTATAAGCCCCGAACGCAACACATCCACACATCTCTCAGATGTGGTGTTCAATGAGCGCCGAGTATTAGTTGTTAAGAAAAGAAAGTGACAATACTATTGACTATTGTGTTGGTTTGTGAACATTATATACACTATACAACCGTTAGTGTACTTTGAAATTTTCAACAGTATTTTCTCTCTATTATTGTGTTTAATTAAATTCACTAAAAGTAGTATTTCTAATGTCGTGTTAGTCTTTTGGGCACGAAATACGACAACAAATGTATAGTGAAATGTGTGTGACTTTTCGATGTATTATTGTGTCTCTCATATGAACTCTAATAATAATAAGAAGAAAACCTTTTAAGGATAAGAATTGACTTCTATTTGAAATAAATTGCTTGGAATTGAGAGACAAAAGCGAAAGTTTAAACATTTTATTTTCTCATATCGTTTTCTCAGGTAAAAAGTTTTGTTTGCATAAAAATTCAAAAGCTTAATCATTTGAATTGTAAATTTTACAATATTTTTTGGTTGTAATTTCATTCTTTACAACACTTTATCTAATATTCATAACAAATGTTTTTGTTTTGTTATAAAGTTTTATAGAAACCGATTTTCAGTAACCTTTTCTCCAATATATTCTGTATTTAAGTATTCATAGCATATAATGTTTGGCACCTTTTGGTGTTTTATTTGTATACCATTGACATCGAAAGAGACTACCAGTGATAAGATTTGAATATTTAATTACACATTAGCTTCTCTATGGTATGAATTTATAATATTTATTTAGCATTAAAATCGTAATACATTATTATTATAAAATAAACGGTTATTAAAACTGTGAGAAAATAGTATTTTTCTTATTTAAAAGTTAATATTTGATTACAATAGACGTTGAATTCACAATTGGTATAGCATTTAGACAAATGAATGTCTGAATTAGTTCTCAAATTGAATATAAATACTAGAATTTGATTAATGTTTAGGTCAGAGATGTTACTAAACATAACAACAGAGGCAACACTTATTTATATATAATAAATACAGATCTTTGAGTTCATTCGACTCATAATTGTTGGTCTAATTGTTATTAAATTCAAAACTATATTAAAGTAGTGAATGAAGAAAAAACTGAATGAAAAAACAAGAATAATAGTAATAACTCTTTAGAGACATTATTTTGAACGCTAAACTTGAATGCATTATAAGAAAGTTAGACGTGAAGTGAATGGGAAGGTATATAACAGGTGTATAAATGAGAGGCAATAGAAGGCAATGGAGTACTAGTGGACAGACAGACAGACAAAAGAAGAAGAACAACAACAAGAGTCAGTGCTATTGCCCTATAAGTGCCATAAGTTTGGGCACAATTAAAATCCCGGAAAAGTCACACAAGTCTTTATACTAGAGATGATGAGAGCGAGTCGTCGTAAGTGAAAAGCAACTCTTATGAACAGTTGACGAAAGCACTGGTACTAGTTTTGTGTCCTCTCTCTCTCTCTCTCTCTCTCTCTCTCTCTCTCTCTCCTATCCGTTGAGCACCTGTACACCTGTAGTAGCGTTGGTTTCTTACATAATTGTCGTGCGAATATCTATAGCTTCTCCGCATATTATGTGATACACAGTTGTTGTCGCAAAGCCTGCAGTTCTTGCCATACATTTTAATTACAATGCATTACTGACCTGAATCTCGCCTCCCATTCACTATTACTCCTCGCACTCTAACTCTTGCTTAAGCCTTACGTCTCATCCCTTTCTTGAATGACTTCTTCGCTTTGCTTTTCACTGCAAACTATACTTACATTTGAGTTAAACTCTTCTTTTCTAATAAACTTTTGTATTATATGTTTGTTTCAATTGTATTGTGTTTTTAAATACAACTCGCAGTTAATATAATATATATTTTTCAAACATTAAGTGTTAACTATTTTTCTACGAAAAATACTTCTCATTTGTAATGAATTGAATTTATTTATCACTTTTTAATGTGATTTTAATAGTATATGTAATTCTTAACACTGTTTTGTGTGATACACAGAATGCGATGGATTCTCATTATAATTATGTTTTATTAGTGTTGAAAATAATTGCCTAAAATCTATACTTAAAATCAAATTCGTCAAAATTGTAAGTTTCTCTTCATTTACCTTAATTCTGGACTTACGCTCTCTTCAAATGGATTAATGATAAAATTCACAATAATAAACGTGATATAAATATAGACATAGTTTGATCTAAAAATATTAACAATATGTTAAACTTTTTTAATGATAATAAATATTTTTCATTACATAATTTTCAGATAATTAAACTCAAGCCTATATTTTGCTTAAAGGCAAAAAATTGTTAACTTCCTAATGAAACTATAAACTAATATAATTTTTTAATTGATTCACTAAATGAACGAATGGTTAGGCAAACACATAATAGTGGAGAGGATGCATAAGAGCTCCTCATTAGTACTGATTCTCTCCATATTTCTAATCCATTATCAAAACGTGAAGTGCGGCTCAAAAAGTGATGACCAATGGGTTAGTGAATAGACAATCTTTTTGCCACTTTAATGTTCATTGAATATAATGAAAATGATTATTTCGATTCTTCAGTGGAATCACTTAGGATTAGAGACCAATCAGAAGAGTCAATGGACAACAATAGACAACAAAGATATTCCCGATAATACGGCCCAAAGCTCTAATCGATCGGTGAAGCGAAGCAGCGCTGCGTTCAATGACAACAACACCGACTCTCCCGTCCGGACGCGATCTCGCAATTGGGAGAAGAGTTTCGCCCGAAAGCGAGACTTCGACCGGACGTGGAGTGACGGCCAACCGATTCGCGAGCGTTTCCGCGAGACTGAATGGGACGACGACGTGCCCGTCCGACACGTCTTCAAAGACAGTACCAGTGCTGTAGACGAGGGCAACACTAGGATTAGGATGGGAGACGACGTCAAGATTGAGAGAATGTCTCGCGTTTGGACCGGAGATGACGGCGACGACGACGACGATAGGGGCACCTCTTTTGTCAGGTCTTCCAATAGCGGCCGAAACAGCAATAATAGTAATAACAGAAGCAATACTAACGCCAATAATAAGCCCAAAGCTGTGACCAACACTTATGGCAGTACTGCTACACAACAGCAAAGCCCAAAGTCGGACAGAACTGATCGCGTCTTGAGTCTTAACTTTCAGGACCCGGACTCGAAGAAGAAGGACAGAGAAAGGTTAGACCGATTGGCTAAACAGATATTCAATATGGATGACGACAATACGGGAACAACTGTTAGAAGTAACGGCTTTACGGGAACCACAGCTAAAAGTAATGGATTTACGGGAACTACAGTTAGAAATAATGGCTTCACAACTACTCCGGCCCGAAGTAATGGCAATTCTGGCAATGGATATGTATCTAACGCTGTCAACAGTTTCACTAGAGGTTCGGGCAATACTTATGTCTCAAACAATGCAAATAACGGTTATATGAGAAATTCTGGCAATGAATTCACTAATAATAAAAATAATGATAAAACAAATACTAATAAATTGGGCGCCGATTCGGTTAAACCCACAAAACCTAAAATGATTGTAATGTTTGAGACGACCCCAAAGCCCGTGCCGTCAAATACCGCCAAATCCACTGCAAATGACGTCCGAAATGTCGCGGAAAAGCCAAAGTCGACGACAACACCGATCGCACCGTCCGCTCAATTGAAGTCCCAGTTTGGTTGGCGTTCATCCATAAGCCATAATAAAGACCAGAAACTACAAACTCAAAACCAAAAATTACAAGAGAGTAACGAAGAGACCGATAATTTTGAGGACATTGAGGAGGATATCGATGACACGACGACTGCCCGACCGACAAGAGTTCCCGTTACGAGACCGCCAGTGGTTATCAGAACCACAGTTAGGCCGACAACCACTAGAGCCACATTCAGACCAACCATTAGACCCACTGTTGAATACACTACTTATAGGATGACTGACACAACGCGTCCGCAAACCACTACTTCCATAACAAACAAACCCAACAACAGAGAGACAACAGTCTTGACGACCACTCGTCCCAAACTGAGTCAACCAAATGCTGTGACAAACAGTTTGGCGCCCAATAAAAAGCAGCACCGAATGGGCAGTTGGGTTGACAGCGATTCCATGGATTACGAACTGGGAGACAACGCCGCCGACTGCGGCACCAACTGTCCCATTGGAGACAACGAAGCCATCAGTGACTGGGCTGAAGAGCCCATCGACGACAGGTCTCAGCCAATAGTGGAGAGCGAAGAGTTCGGTAACGAACAGTTGCCCGAACGAGTCGAAGACGCAGCGGTTCCGGAGGTAGAGTCGCCAAAGTTTGCGCGACAAAGACAATCGGCGCCCGCGGGAGGAGAGCGAGAGGATCAGTCGGGATGGACTCTGGAGGACGCGCTTCCGGGAGTGCCCGGCACTGACTATCCCACGTTCGCCACGATTCCCAAAACGGCGTTTGACTGTAAGACTCATCAATGGCCGGGTTATTACGCCGACGTCGAGACCCAGTGTCAAGTATGCCAAACCTGTTTAACACATTATTTCCATTGTATTCTTCAAGCATTCAATGCTTTCTCTAACAAAAACATAATTATAACTTATCTTTCATAACATAATATTCAAGTCTTGTATAGAATTATAATTGAGTTTTGAAGTTAAGTCTCTCTTTCTCTCTCCACATCACTCTTATGTGTGTTTTGGCCGTAAAAAGTACTGCAAATGCGAGACTATTATTATCGCTGAAAATATAATTTATAGTTAACTGTAATATTTTAAGAGTCCTTAAAAAGAGATGAAAAAGGTTTTTATAAAACTTGAGTTTCTAAAAAACTATTCAAACTTTTATTTATTTGTTTATTTCTACATAGAGATAAGTTTTGATTTAAATGCAAAAATTTACATCTGAATGAAAACTAATTGAATAATTACGAGGAATACATAATTTTATGCGAAAAACATCACAATTAATAATTCATTGTAAAAAAGGTTTTTGTCGCAGAGATTACAAGTTGTGATACATTTTTCAAAACACTTTTTCTATCAAATTCATGACATTATCTGACATTATATGCCCTAAAGTTATGTTATGTGAGATTAAAACTGAATTTTCTTTGAGCTCTACTCTAATTGTTTTGTCTTTCAGTTAATTATTATTCGTTTGATAAGTAGGTCTTCACACAAATTGAATTAACGCTTTAAAAAAGAGTATAATTACAAACGAAATACAATCATAATTACTGTTAAGACTCTCATCAGTTCCCATACAAATAGCTCAGCGTTTAATATTGTGTCCGATTATTATTATTTCCATAAAAAATACGCCAAATTATAAATGCAATTATCATTTATATAACATATTTGTTTCACTTGTTTTCGGCGATTAAACTCCTGTCACACGCTTTGCGCGATTAGAGGACCAAACAAATTGATGAACAATAAAAACACAATAAATTCCCATTAATTTTCATTCAAACACACATTTAAAAATAATAATAATTAAATCATTCATTATTCATGACTCTTAATTGAGATCGATTTCAAATGCAAACATCATTTATAATATAAATGTTTCACATTATTATATCACAGGTTTTCCATATCTGCCAAACGGGTGGCCGCAAGAACTCGTTCCTGTGTCCCAACGGAACTATGTTTAACCAACAGGTGTTTGTGTGCGACTGGTGGCACAATGTCCAGGTATGTCAGCAACCCATTCACATCCCAACCCCTTCACCACTAAATCTCTATTTAACTTATTATTTAAATTGGTTTTGTGTGCGAAACCCCATTCAGTGCGGAGACAGTGTTACACATTATCCGCTCAATGAGAACATCTATGACCACAACTGGGAATCGAAACGAGTGACCAAAACAGAGACCGAAGGCTCGGTTAGAAGGAGTGGTAGTCTTATGGAAACCGCTGAGCCGTTGACCGATGAGATGGCCGTCACTACAACTCCCATTGAATCCGAATTAAGCGATACTAACGGTTCGGTCGAGAATAAGGATGTTTCGGATGCCGTAAACGAGGGGTCAAACGATTTTGGCGCCAATGAAGAGGACACCGACGAGGAGACGGGCAGAGCATCGAGGGTTCGCTCTCCTGTGCGTATATACAGAACCTCCCGATTCATGACACCTCTCGACCGCCAGAAGCGTCGCCGTAGGAAAAGAGGATATTTAAAAGCTTAACAATTTATTTATATTTAAATAACATTCATTGTTTGTTTGTATAGTTATTATTATTATTATTTTATTTTTATATACGAGAAGTGATTATTAATTATTAATATGTTTTAAAAGCTTTCATATCATTAACGAGTTTATCATCAAATATATTGAAAAGTTTAATGAAATGTAAGAACGGATTCGTCAATCAATTGTCAAAACCCGATAACATATTCATCACTCAATACAATGCAATTGATGTTAACAATTGTTTTTTAATTAATATTAAGTGAATTGATTTAAACCCCAAAACACTGTTTGTTAACTCATTTCAAGTATATCTGAAAAACAAAAACAAATTTTGGCTCATTTTTGGCATTAAACTGAATCATAACTTTTATTTTGTTGTTTATTTCTGATTGCATTTATTTATAAATAGCTTTCATTTTTCATATTATTTAACAATATATATCACAATATAAGTCATTATTATTATAATATAAATAATTTAATAATTTAATTACCAATTTTTGCAAGTCTTCCCTTGTATTCAATATAATTTATATTGAATACAAGGGAAGACTTGCAAAAATTGGGGATTAAAAAATAATTAAAGTTTCACATCTAAAGTAAACCATCGAGTTATTCTAATAATAATAAAGTGTGCTAAAAAATTAAATTAAATCATATGTTTTGAAAAATATATTTAAAATTACAGTTAAACCCAAAACACAAAGCATATTATGTTTAGTGACCGGAAAGATAGTATAACAAAAGTTTTAATGAATGGATTGACACAACACCGGTTGCAACAATGGTTAAGAGTCGTAAAGTTTGAAGCGCTGTTTGTATGAAATTGTACGCAAATTGTGATGAATTCTTAATTGTTTTATATTAAAATTTCTCAATTCAATGATTTTGTTTTACAATCCATACAAGCGGTGCTTTCAAATGATTTGTGCATAAATTTTAAGCAATTTTTACTAATTGTACAACAATTGAACTGAACAACTGTTTGGGAACGTATTTCTTCATATACGGTATGACTTCATTATAAGTCCTCATTTGAATTGATACCAAACTTAAGGAATAATAATATATTATTAATTAAATCGCTTTCTCACCGGTAATTAAAAATCATTTAATTCCAGAAATCATATTTAAGAAACCATTAATATATCAAAATAATTATTTTAATATTTTAATTATTATATTTAAATATCGGTATATTAATAAGTAATGTCGTAAAACAATTTTTATATTAAATAATAAATAAAATTGAAACAAATGTTTATTTAATTTATATCACAATTTGAATGACTAATTAAAGTACAACAATATGTTAATTACGATTAATATCTTGGATATAATTTGTATATACCTTCAAAGAATTGTTTGATAATGTGGTCACTCCTGTCTCCCCTAATAGTATGTATTGCTTATAAATATCTAAACTTGTTTTGGAGACAACGGGAGGTTTGACTGAAAAACTGGTGTCAGAATATTCACTCGAATTCACACATAATTTGTTTGTTTTATTAGTAAACAATTCCTTCGCTTCGCCCGCTTTGTGTCCGATATTCACATATTTCTTGTAGAGATCAATGTCTTTGTGAAATGGTTTCTTAACGATATGGCCGTACGTGTGGCTACTTTCCCATCTAATATCCACAGCCTTTGTGGGCGAGCAATGAGATTGAGTTAAATCTTCATTATCTGAATGGTTAGCATTAAAGTTAACAAAATCATATGCGGTCTCGTCTTCGTCATCGGAATCGCTCTCCAATTCACTGGCGCTGCTCGACGTCGACGAAGTGGACGCTCGACCCGACAGAGATGGGTTAGGAGGCGGAGGGAGTTTGGAACCGCTCGAACCCATCAGCGATTCGCGACGCTTTCCAACTCTTAACCGCACACTGAATGGACTGTAATCGGCGGTAAAGTTGGGCATAAAGTCCTTACAACTGTTGGGAATGTTGAACGATAGGGTGTCCGTGAAGACAGTCAATTCGTAGGGCCGGTACTGTTCGTAATAGCCATCAGTTCTCTCGTTGTTTGTCTTGTCTCGAGTCAGACATATAAGAGAATCAGGACTTCCTTTGTTTATTTCAAGGGCAGATCGCGGCAGACATTTGACCACTTCGTCGGACCACCATTTAGTGTATTGCTTTGTATGACTTCCGGCCAGTTGTCTGCCGGCGGCCAACGAATTATGCAAATAAAAGTCTGTATACAAGTCCCAAATGGACGCACCCTTTGCTGGCTTAAAAACGCCGAGAAATAAGTTCATCACATTCTGCTTCTCTGCGTCCGAAAAGGCGTTACTGTAATAACGGGAAAGGGTTTGCATTATATCGCGTGAATGGGAAGAGAGGAGCGCTATCTTTCGGTAGGTCTTGATTCGGTGGACCAGTTGTGAGCCGCCGTACTGTAGGGCCAGAGTGTCGCCGTGATCTTCGTATAGCTCTTCCAACATGCGAACGGTGTCCGACTCGAACTCCAGGTCCGGTTTGGGCAGTATTCCCAGCGAATAGAGTTGAAAAGCGAGCGCCACTTTACCCAAAGCGAACTGAGCCGTATTGGTTCGGTCCAAACAGTCCACACAATTCACGCGAACGATACCCGTCTGCAGAGTGCGACCGCAGGGCAATCGATACCCGCCGAGTGTGCGTCGATCGCGTTGAATAAACGCCTCGCAGTCGGGTTGTTGTTGGTTAAGACACGTGCCTTTGCTCTGGAAAATGCCCGTCTGTTTGAGCGTATAGTACGCGATCTCAGCCAATCTGGTCATAACGTTAGCGTCTTTGAGTTTGTTAATCCTCGCCATATCGAAGCCGATGTAATCGATTTGGTGTTTGGGCGGCAGAAATTGGTTCAAATAGTTGACTGCATTCATGAATTCATTGCTTAACACACTCTCGTGTGGCTTCTGTTCGCGTCGTTTCACCAGATTTAAGATAATTATCGGCGAACCGTATGTATAGAGCAGTTGATTGAAGTGACGGCCGGCCATCGCATAGTACGGATCCATTATATCCAACTGAATGGCCGGTTTGGGAACCATTTTAGAGATGTCTTGCGACCAATAGGAGGGAACCGAACCTCGCATTTGCACGAACGACGTGTAGAAGCCGTCGGAAAAGGAGGACACACTGGCGTCGTGTACTATCTGTTCGGTGATCACATCGTTGGCCACATCGCCCTCGCAATTGCCGCCCCGTTTCAGAAAGCGAGTGCCGGCGAACTTCTTGGACCGTTTGGCGATTAGAGTCAAATGTATGGGTCGGCCGAAGACACAGATGTTGTTCTGAGCGACAAATCCATGACAGATGTGAAGAATCCAATCCGGATGTAAATCAAGCGATTGAAGCAAATACTCATTCCATACGAACTTATAGTTGGGTTTCGTGCGGACGCCTCCNCGATTAGAGTCAAATGTATGGGTCGGCCGAAGACACAGATGTTGTTCTGAGCGACAAATCCATGACAGATGTGAAGAATCCAATCCGGATGTAAATCAAGCGATTGAAGCAAATACTCATTCCATACGAACTTATAGTTGGGTTTCGTGCGGACGCCTCCCGAATGCAACTCATATTTGCGGTCATTACTAGACTCTTCGGTCGCCGACCCGTCACAACAGTCACTGTTATTCCTCTCCCAAAGAGTGTGTGTTTCGGACAAATCGTGTTCACAATTAGTGCCGGAATGGTTGTGAAGATATGTCTGTCCGATATTGTACTGCAATGTATGACTCAAATCGTATGAATAGCTGAAGTAAAAGTTAGACGAAAGGTCCACGTTTTGGAACAGCTTATAATATTTGAGTTCTTCGTGGTTTGATTTGTCCACTTCTGATGGGATGTACACCATATGCGTGTCCTCTATCTTATAGATGGAGTGGTGACCCAATTGGGCGACTCTTCGGCGCTTCGTTATGAGAATCAGATAATATCCCTCCAGAAAGCGGACAAACCCTACGATACCAAAGGCAGAGATGGTTCGGTTGAGGCCGTAGTGATTGCTCGACTTTGAGGACCGGTTGCCCACGTCTACCATCACCAGAAGTTCCCTGATCTCCAGCTGATTGTACTCCAGCTTATCGTCGATTACATTCAACTCTTTAGCTTCGGTTCTGTCGATCTTCAGGACCCGAAAGCGGGTCTGAGTGTTGTTCGACCCGATTATGAACAGTCTCTGCAAATGTATACTTCATATCACATCACATCCCAAGACATTGTGTGTCAAAACAAAGCCATATCGTTAAGAAACCATTTCACAAAGACATTGATCTCTACAAGAAATATGTGAATATCGGACACAAAGCGGGCGAAGCGAAGGAATTGTTTACTAATAAAACAAACAAATTATGTGTGAATTCAAGTGAATATTCTGACACTAGTTTTTCAGTCAAACCTCCCGTTATCTCCAAAACAAGTTTAGATATTTATAAGCAATACATACTATTAGGAGAGACAGGAGTGACCACATTATCAAACAATTCTTTGAAGGTATACACAAATTATATCCAAGATATGAATCGTAATTAACATATTGTTGTACTTTAATTAGTCATTCAAATTGTGATATAAATTAAATAAACATTATATTTTATATAAAAATTGTTTTATGGTATTATTTATACCGATATTTATTTTGAAATTTTGGTTTTAAAAATATTTATACCAATATTAATGGTTTAAAAAATATCTTTTGGAATGATTTCTGGAATTAAATGATTTTAATTACCGGTGAGGAAGCGATTTAATTAATAATAAATTATCACTCATTAAATTTGGTATCAATTTAAATGAGGACTTATAATGAAGAAATCCGTTCCCAAACAGTTGTTTAATTCAATTGTTGTATAATTAATAATTAATTATTGAAAATTGCTTTTTATGCACAAATCATTTGAAAGCACTGTTTGTATGGACTTTAAAACAAAATCGTTGAATTGAGAAATTTTAATATAAAACAATTGAGAACTCATCACAATTTGCTTACAATTTCATACAAAGAGTGCTTCAAACTTTACAACTCTTAACCAGTGCTGCGACCGGTATTGTGTCAATCCATTCATTAAAACTTTTGTTATACTATCTTTCCGGTCACTAAACATAATATGCTTTGTGTTTTGGGTTTAACTGTAATTCTAAATATATTTTTGAATACATATGATTTAATTTAATTTTTTAGCACACTTTATTATTATTTGAATAACTCGATGGTTTACTTTAGATGTGAAACTTTAATCATTTTTTAATCCCCAATTTTTGCAAGTCTTCCCTTGTATTTAATTTAAATAATGACTTATATTGTGATAAATATTGTTAAATAATATAGAAAATGAAAGCTATTTATAAATAAATGCAATCAGAAATAAACAACAAAATAAAAGTTATGATTCAGTTTAATGCCAAAAATGAGCCAAAATTTGTTTTTTGTTTTTCAGATATACTTGAAATGAGTTAACAAACAGTGTTTTGGGGTTTAAATCAATTCACTTAATATTAATTAAAGAACAATTGTTAACATCAATTGCATTGTATTGAGTGATGAATATGTTATCGGGTTTTGACAATTGATTGACGAATCCGTTCTTACATTTCATTAAACTTTTCAATATATTTGATGATAAACTCGTTAA